CTCCCTCCCTCTCTCTCTGAAAAGCAAAGGAAAAAATATCTTTGGGGGAGGATTGACAGAACAAAACAAAACAAAATGACAACAGCCAACACAATAGCCGTCCAGTGTGAATGAATAGAAATTATACCTATTTTTTGGTCAGATTGGCAAAAAATATATATTTTTTTGGTGTGCTGCAGAATGTTAGTAATTAGTTTATGTCTGCTGGGAGATGAAAATGGTTGAAAGTCACTACACGGGGTAAAAAGACACACAACAAACTAGTGGAAAGTATTTGTGACACTTACAAAAAAAGTGCTCATATTCAGAATATATAAAGAAATTCCATAAATCAGAACAAGCCATAGCCACAGGCCAAGTCTGGCCCACTTCCTGTTTTTGTAAATAAAGTTTTATTGAAACACAGTCACGCCCATTCAGTTTCACATTGGCAGAGTGGAATAGTTGTGACAGAAACTGCCTGGCCCACAAAGCCAAAAATATTTGCTACCTGGCCCTTTATAGAAAAAATATTATTAACAACATAAATGGCCCACATACATATAGAAAGATGCTCAGCTTCACAGATAATGAGAGAAATGTAAATGAAAAGAAAAAAAGAGACCCTGCTTCACTCCCGTCATGTTGGGGAACATTGGAGGGTTCGAGAGTGTGTATCACAGCGGGAAGGTCAGAGAGTCATGAACGTCGTTTAGCGCTGCTCGGAGGGTTAAGCGATGAAATGAGCTTGGAAAATGGCTTAGCATTTTCTGGTAAAGTTGAACATGCACTTACCCGACTGCACAGAAATTCCACCCCTAGGTATATGCTCTAGAGACTTGGGCAGAAATATTGCAGAGCTGTTCGTAATAGCACTAAATTGGAACATCGACGATGGAACATTTGAATGAGTCTCTAAAACATAATGTTGGGGGGGAAACATCACAGAAGGAATCATAATGAGGGCGCATGTATTTAAAGTTTAAAGCCAGGCCAAGCCAACAATAGATTAATTCAGGATTCCTTTGTCGGTAGAAAGCTGAGAGGAAATTAAGGGAATTATAAACAAACTTCAGGATGGTGGTTTCCACTGAGCAGGGAGGGCAGACAGAGGGATGTCAGACCCCTGATGTACCTGCCTTTTTGTTCTTTTTTTCATCCAAAAGGGTTAATTTTATTTTTCTATTTTCTCCTTTCCTTTTATCACTGCGAACATCTTCCTTTCCATTCAATCCCACCACCAGGAGGAACCACTACCAAGAGTTTGGTGTGCATCCTTCCGGAGGTTTCTTAGTGCTTTTAAAGCATAAGCATAAACACACAAAATAAATCACAAACACATTGTCATTTTGTAAAAGCAGAGTGATGCATTTCGTAGTGAAACTTGCTTTGGTCACTTTCCAAGTCAGCATATATTTTAAGGACCCCCAATCTATCTGTCCCCATTGATGGACACATAGCTTCTGTCATTGTTTTCATAGATAACACTGCAAAGAAGATTCTTGAACCTAAAACTACATGTGTCCATGCAGATACATCCATAAAATAAATTCTTAGAAACAGGATTCCAGGGTCTCTCTCAGGATTTGAAATTGTTCATCTCCATCTAGCAGATCACAAACCCAGAAGGCAGAACGATTGCAGCCTCTGTTAGCTAAGAGTTCTGAGCTGGCTGCCGTTAGTCCATGGCACAAGGAGGGGGGACATAGATATGGGGAGGGGACACCCGGAGTCTTAAGGAAAGGGAGTGTCAAAGTGGGTTCTGTCAATTTATGCTAAATTTCTGTGCTGAGCAAGCAGAAAGATAAGAGACCTCGTGTTTTCTTGAGATGGGAGTCTGCTTCTCCACTCCCCGCTGAAACGGACAAAAGGCAGCCTCCCCAGAACTGCCTGGACCAGCACACGGCCACTCGGGGCCCCTCAAGCGTCCCTTGATCAGGTTCACGTCCTTGGCCTTCCTCGGGATCTCCACAGCCAGATGTGGAGGGAGCAATGGAAAGGGCGGCCTGCTCCTCACGTCGGATGCACCTGGTGGACAGAACAAAAGAGTGGTCCTGAATCCCCCCACCCCCCACCCCAGTAAAGTAGCCTGGGCCCTTCACTGCATCCTGAGTTTCCCAGTTTTTTCTCCTGGTTTCTGAGGCTGGCAAGGCTTTCCCACCCATGACCAGCATGAGCTGGGGGTCATTCTACCACACTAGGAGCACCCCCTCTTCCCACATCGTCATCCGTAACTATCTGTTAACGATGTTCCAGTGACAGGGAGCACGAAGGTGGGAGCCATGCAATTTGTAAAATGATTCATCAAGAGTAATTTGCTATTGATGCGTCCCTAGTAATCTCAAGAAATTTGATGAGATGGAATTGAAGAAAATTTAATTATAGAGGCGAGCACTGCAGGCTGATGTTGTAAGAGTACGTCCCACGTTAACCTCACCTTTCATAAGGGTTTTCTGTATCAACAGCAATATTTGATGTTCAGATGTTTGCTAGCTGCTCTCTTCGCTTTGCATGCCAGCGTTTTGTCGGGTTGGGTGTCTCCCCGCTCCCCATCTGCAGGATGGAGCCATGGGGTGGCTCTAGTACAGAAATTAGACCTGCAGAAAAGAGAACAGCCTCTCTTCTCCTGGCAAGTGATGCAGGAGTTTCCCGCCCTGTCTGCCAGCATCAGGGAGCAGTGGGCTGGGGCCAGCTTGATAAACACGGACCTCCCTAACTTGAACGGGAGAAGCGCTGCTAAATCATAGCAGGACAGGATATATGCCCATGCCTGCTAGTCTTCGTGCTTCCACTGGACCCTCCAGACCGTAGAGCCCAGCCCCTCAGCTTCCTGAAGCATTGGGAACGGGAGGAATGACTTTCTTGTCTGTTAGTCAAGGCATATTTTTAATTCAGCTGGGTTTCCCCTTGCGTTTAGAGGGACCCACTCAAGACCACACATGTGAGAAAATAACCCTCTGACTATCCAGGCTATCCTGGTTGCCACCGAGGGTGACCGGCTCTGTCAAGGAAATAAGACGCGTTGTCTTCTGAACGCTGCTTTGTCTTACAAGGAGGTTTCTTCTAATCCTTTATTCTAATTCTCACCAGAATCATTAGCCAATATTTTTAAATATGTATAGTCTTGTGTTTGACAATAAAATAAGCAGTGAGTGGGAATTTCTTCAAAATAAAGGCCTCCTTTGCTCACCCCATCTAAAATAAACCTCATCACTCTCTAACCCAGGGATCGAAGGCTTTTGCTGTAAAGGGTTAGATAGTAAATATATTCGGGTTTGCGGGCCACTGATGGTCTGTGTCTCAACTACTCAGTTTTGCTGTTGTAGCACCGAAACAACCACGGACAGTATCTACCCAAATGTGCATAGCCATGTTCCAATAAAACTTTACTTACAACAACAGGTAGGGGCCAGACATGGCCCAAGGGCCACAGTGTGCCAGTCCCCTGCTGTGACTCAATACCCCATTTATTCCCTTCGTGACATTTATCACTGATTGAAACAACCTTATTTATTTACTCATTTATTCCTTTATTGTCATCAGTCTACCCCACTGGATTGCAATCTCCTTGACTGTCTGGTTCCCTGACCCCATAGAATAGAGCCTGGCACTTAATAAATCTTTATTGAATGAATGAATGAATGAATGAATGAATGAATGAATGAATGAATGAATGCATGCCTTGTTTAGTAAATGTGCATTGAATGAATGAATGTCTGGGCTATAGAAGGTGCTATGTAAATATGTGCTGAATGAATGAACTTTGTTCTGCTCTAAAGTGGGGTCATAACTGATGTGGGCTCTGTTTCTTCATCTGTGCAATGGGACTGTGAATATTAGTTCCTCGTGAGGTTGTCCCGTGAATTGAGTGGAGCCTCACCAGTACCCAGGGTGGTACCAGGCACACAGCAGGTGCCAGCTTCCTGGCTCTTCTAATGATGTAATGGTTCCTTTTGCTTTCAGAGGAGGCACTAAAGCTGCACAACGGACCCCACCGCAACGCCTACATGGAGCAGAGCTTCCAGAGCCTGAACCCCGTGCTCAGCCTGCCCGTGAGCCCCGCGCAGGTGGAGCAGGCGCGCAGGAACGCTGCCTCCACGGGCGCCGCGCTGGAGCGCTGGCTGGACTCGCTGGTGGGCGGCGTGTGGACCGCCATGGACATCTGTGCCACCGGCCCCACCGCCTGCCCGGTCATGCAGACCTGCAGCCAGACGGCCTGGAGCTCCTTCAGCCCGGACCCCAAGTCAGAGCTGGGGGCGGTCAAACCCGACGGCCGGCTCAGGTAGCACTGGGCGTGCGTGGGCCACAACGGATGTCAAAGGGAACACAGCCAGAGGGCAGATGGGGCCAGGACCCTGGCCTCCCACCCAGGGGGTGCCTTTTGTGGGAGGGGCTCTCCTGGCCACAGAATGATGGAGAAGGAAGGTTCTGAGGTCAAAGCCCGGTCTGCCAATGACCTGCATTTGGCAAGCTGGCTCTTGGGGGCATGGTCTTACCTCTTCTGGCTGATCCTCAAATCCTACAGGGTCCTAGTCTTCCCCCTCCAATGACCCAACCCCCCAGACAAGTGATTCTCAAACTTTACTTTGAGCAGCAAAACTTTGTTTACCAAGCGCAGTCCTGGGTGGGAGTTCAAGGTGCAGGTGAAACCCAGGCTGCTCAGGGTGAAGGTGGGGAGATGGAGGCTCCTTCTCAAAGCTCAGCCCACCGGGCGGTCCCTGTGCCAAGGGCATCTCCTAAGGTACCTCTTCAGAACCCAAGGGCTCTGCAAAACCCAGTTTGAAAAGCACTGCCCAGACGGTGGGTTTGACCTCCAGCCCCCGCCCTTCGGCTCATCTTCCCGCTCCTCTGCTCCAGGAAACCCTTGTGCCAGCCCTGAAATGACAGGCCCCTGAAAGTCATGCTCATGGGCCCTCCCCAGGGAGGCAGTAGGCTCAGGATGGCTCTGAGCTTCCCACTGGCCCTTCTTCTTAGTAAATAGATGAGCAGGGAAGCCTTTTGGTATGACATGGCCAAGGTCCACCAGAGTGTGACTGCCAAGTGCCACACTCCCTCAAGGAAAAATGGGACGATGGTGAACATTGAGTCTCCAGCCATTTATGGACCAGGAGACCAAGACCATGACCTTGCTGATCCTTGAAAGTGGGAACGTTGGGGTCCATGGCCATGAAACTCATAGATTGTTTGGAGCAAAATCGCTGAGCAAGACAGCACAGCAATATCCATCCCCTGCTTGAGCCTTTTGGTCCTGAGGTCAGGCCCCCCCAAACCTCTGTGAATGGCGCACTTGGTGCTGTTGGGAGTGACCAAACCGCATGGACCAGACTTTTTACATCAAGGAAAAAGCATTTCCGATTTGGTTTTTAAATGCATGCCCTTCCTTATCCGAGGTGCCAGCAGGCCCATCTGACATGCAGTGTAGAAGCGGGAAGCTTGAGTGTCTGGTTGTTTAAAACCTAAACAATAGTATTATTCAAATGGCCTGAGCTGCCAGAAATCTGAAGGGTTTCCTCGCCATGTGCCCTGTGGAGGGCCCCCCTGCGCCTCTGAGAGCCCCTTCCGGGAGGCCCCCTTCCTCCCCTGATCCCGCCCTCCCCCGAAGGACAGGGTTCCCTTGGACAAGTCCCAGTCCCACCCCTGGTTGCAAACTGTCCTTCCCAAGAAAGCCAGCCCTCGATGTGCATCTCTCCAGCGTGAGTTAGAAGGTACTGCAGTTCCTTCCTATGACCTTTCAGCTACTCCCCCAGAACCACCCCCTCCCCCACCCAGCAAGGCAGGAGGTCCGATGGGCAATGGAGAGTATAGAAAAAGGACACTTTAGATATTTATTATTTATATGTTTTAGTCAATGACTAATTAGTAGGTGCTGTTTTTGCAGCTTGACCATTGTTATCTTACTAACGGAAACTGCCTTTATTCACGAAAGGCCCGCCCAGCCCTTTCCCTCCCCCTCTCTCTCCTCCCCACCTCCTAGTGTCTCTCTCTCTGTCTCTCTCAGTCTCTCTCTCTCTCTCTGTGTCTGCCCTACATTCTCTGTGTCCTCAGAGGACAGCAGGGATGTTGGATACCATGGGGAGGATGCTCCAACTAGCGTCATCCCCTGGCTGAAAGTGGGGTAACCTTGGAACATCGGAGCCTCGTTTTTCCTCGTACAGGGTGTTAGCCCCATCCAGCCCTTCAGGTCTGGGGGTGCTGGAATTCCTGAGCCATCCCTACTCCCTGCCCCAGGCACAGGGACAGGCCAGGCCAGCCTGTAGAGGGAGAGTGTGCAGACCACAGAGCTCCGGCAACCCCAGCCTCCTCCTTGGGTGACCTCCTTCGGCCAGTGTGACCATGAGCCTCCATGTAACATGACAGAATGACAGAGGGAAACAGGCTGCTTCCAAGCCAGGGAGGAAAAGAAATCTATTTTAGGAAGAGGGTAGGTGGTCAGACCAGGCCAGAAGAACCCAAGAGATGGCCACGGTCAACCGTGGTTCCAGGGACCTCAGAGTGGTTTTCTCAGAAATGCCCTATAATTTCTAAATGGAATTCCAAGCTGTGAGAGGCCCCTGCCATGCCCTCTTTCTGTTCCCACCTTTTGTCTCTGGCCAGAGTGTCCCTTTGTCTGTCAGAGCCGCCCAGGGAGACTCTTATCTCCCTCCTCACCAGACCACTAGGACTTGGTGTTTCCCAATGTCATTTGCAGTGGCCTTGAGGGCTCAGCCCTGACACATCCGTGTGGAGCGTGTGCCTGCTGGCTCCTGCACCCACTGACATTGCTGCCTTTTGTTCCCATCTTGGAACAAGCGGAGAAAGTGGCAGAACTGGCTTACTCTGGGGACATCCCCACCCCATCTCTGTCCTGGGCTTCACTCACCTCTCCCTGCAGTGAATTCTGGGACACTGCACGGTCACCCAGGTGTTCCTTAATGCCCTTTGTTTCCGGATAGAGAATAACTTTGCAGATGCTACATTTGTTTAAAAAGAGAGGGAGAGAGGGAATTCCAAACAAAGCCCAGGATGATTTGAGAAAAAGTGATCTGTTCCAGGGAAAATAGTTTCACTTTTTTTTAAATCTGCCTAAGAGTGATTTATTGGTTAGAAGCCAGTGATCAGGCTGCCTTCAGCAGTGGTTGCCTGAGAGTGTTACAAGCATGAGACCGAGGTCTCCGGAAGCCCCGTTCCAGTCTGCAGCATAGTGGCTGTGGGCAGAGTCACTGGCCAGGCCCCAGGACTGCAGGGAAACTGAAAGGTGGGACAGGGTCGGCTTTGAGACAGAAGGAAGCACTCAGTAGCTGCCGCACTCGGCATGATTTCCCAGCATCCCAGGGATATGCAGGCAGAGACGGAGCTCGGGAGGCCTCCCACTGCCCACTGCACACTGCACACTGCCCAGGCCATGCACACTGCCCAGGCCATGCACAAAGCACTAAGGCTCAAAGGGGGGCACGAGCAATTCCCAAGGCCCCATGTTTTAACAAGTGCACCCATTCCTCCCTTTGGAGAAAGGCTTTCTTATCCGATTGGGAGTCATTCTGACTTTATTTCCCATTGTTAGCTCAACTTCTTAAAACGCAAGTGGCATTTAGAGAGGCAGAGCAAGGCCACGCACGCCCACCGAAGGTGCGGATTGCAGCTACTCTGGGCCCATGCCTGTGCTGTGTGGTCCGTGCTTCCTTCTGGTTCTCTAGTTTCCAAGTGCAAGGAGGTCACTGGCTGGAGCCTTGATCTCTTTGCTGAGAAGGTGCAAAACAGGAGAGCAGTAGCTCTCTGGGTTTGGGGTGTGAGCAAAGACCCCTTTCACAGCCAAGTTCACTAGGAAACTCAGGACACAAGCTCTTCAGCAGCATCCGGGGGGATACACTAAATAGAGCTGTTGGCAAAAGCCTGCCAGATCAAAGTGGCACCCTGTGGTTGAGGTCACAAATGCCTATGGGGTCCAGAACACTAACAGAGATGAGTGAAGCAGTTGGTGTAACACAGTAGGGAGTGGTGGGGACTGTGGTCTGCTGGCACCACTTGACCCATCCAAAAAGAGCAGCGACTACTCAGCTCCAGCCTGTCAGTGCCTATGAGAATGCAGGCACCGTGTCGCAGAACCTTCCAATTTGGTACGGGAAGCGAAAAATCCAGATTTTAATAGGAAATCTGATTTTAAATGTTGGCTTTTTTTTTTTTTTAACAGAGGATGGGCACAGATAAATCCCACAGTTCAGCCTGTTTACCTCACTCTGGAGATGTGGTTTAAAAGGAGATTTTAAAGGAGGATGGGCGTTGCCCCTGTGAGGAGGGGAAAGCCAGCATTAAGAAAGGGCAAAAATAATAGCTCACGTTGAACTCTGAAGGGGTCAGGAATCTCTTCCTACTCATTCCCATCCCAAAGAGACAGTCCCACAGAGGAGGTGTCCCTGGAGAACTGGCTTGTTCAGATCTCCTGGTCCCCACGCAGTTTGTGGTGAAGGGAAGGAGGAACAGAATTGGGGGCCGCAGCTGTTGCCCCATAAACCTCAGGGGGTCCACGCTGCCCAGGTCCTCACCTTCTGGAATTCCATCACACCCGGGTGGAGAGGTCAAGGATGGGGTCCAGGAAGGGGGTGGCGTATGAAACAAGTGTTAGCAGCCAGCTAGCCGGCTGTCTGAAAGCTTGGGAACCGTGCTGGGGCTGTGCTTACAGGGCATCCTCTCAGCTTCTGCCTCAGTTACCTTACTTTGCCCATGGGTCTACCACAGGCGCTACCTCACCGTGTCTGCTGAGAAGTTTACCTTGGGGGGCATGAAGGTGGCCAAGTCTGCTTGAGCAGAATGTACGATCTATGCAAATTCTGTGTCTCTGTTTCTCTCTCTCTCTTTCTCTCTCTCTCCTCTGTCTGAAGTACTATTATTTTTTACCTTGCAAACAAGATACTGTATAGACCCCCTCTTAAGACTGAGGAAGGCTTTCTTGCGCCACCTGTGTCCACCCTTCACGGTGTCATTGGTTCTGTCCCTCCCTCCCCCGTCGCGTGGCTGGGAGCTCGGCTGCCTCTGTCCACAGGCCCCACAGAAAAGCAGGTTCTGCCCCTTGCCACCTCCACCCCTAACCCATCTTCTCCACGCCTCACTTTCCTCTGACTTGCTTACTATCTCCCCATCCCATCCCCCCCAAAAAGCCTTAGGTTCTCCTTTTTGAAATGTGGCCTTAAAATTATTTTTGGAAAGCTCACCGCCCTCTCCCTCCCATTTCCACCAACATCTGAGAAGAAAGAGCCCCTTGCAGCTTTCGTGGAAACCTCCTAAGCGAGGGGTGGCCAATCTGTAGTTTGCAGATGCTTAGGAATTGCTCATAAATGTCGCCTTTAGGAAAAATAATTCTGAAATGTTTCCCGTGGGTACAGTGAAGGCCTGGGTGCTCATCTAGACCTCAGCCAGCCCCTGAAGCGCTCTCTCCGTGTGTATTGTCGCCGCAATGAATGGGCTGGTGGCTCCATCGCCAGCCGGGCGCTAGCTCCGGCTTCCAACCCTCGCCTTCCCAAACACTCGGTGACCCACGTACTTCAGCCAAGGGTACATCAGGAGAGTCTCTCCATTTATCTCTTCCTCCTTCCTGCCTGGAAAGTGATAGCATTAAATATTCCCAGTGGATGGGTCATGTTCTCCAAGGGACCACACTCTCCCTACTTTCAGAGCCTCTCCTTTTCCCTGCCATCGCTCCAGGGCTGCTGGAGGCCAAAGACAACCCAGGGTTTTCATAGGAAATTCACTGGAATTGAGCGCAATCGTCTTTGTAGTCCTTTTGTCTTTTTTTTTTTTTTTTTTTTTTTTTTTTTTTTTTTTTTTTTTTTTTTCTTTGTTCTTAATATTATTATGTTCTCAGTAGCGTTTGGGTGTGTTTTTTTTAGAGGCCTCACAATAAGTTATTACCGTCCCCTTCATTTTTGTTCGAAGACATGTGGTGATATAGTTTTTAAAAATAACTATTTTGTTATAGATCATAATATGCATAAAACTGTACAGAAATATTTTGTAATGTATTGATTTTTTTAAAAAGAGAGAATCTGTAAATAAAGTTTTAAAAAAGAGAGAATTCAAACGGCACACACTGAAAGATGTAGATATTTTGCTATTTATTTAAAGGAGTATTTTAAGAGATATTGAGCTATCTGAAATTGACCGGTAATCAAAGTTCCAACCACCCGAATGCTTTTTCCTCGAGGTAGAATGTGATTCTCGGAAACGATTGCACTACCCGCCCATTTTTGCACCTTTTCTGTCTTTTCAGTTAGCAGAAAAAAATAACAACGAAATTGTGCCTTAGCTGTATTTTTTTGTCTAGGGGAATTTGTTTCTGTCTGACAAAGCAAATTTTTTTGCAGAAAACAGTGGATGTAATAAATACTGTACCATACCAAAAACACCGCAGGTGTATATAGATGCTTTCTGTCATACTGTGTTTTCAGATGCAGAATTTTAAAATTAAAAAAAAAAAAAAATACTGTCTTTATGGAACAGTGGCTGTGTGGCTTCTTTTTAGCAATTTCATGTGTCTTTGCACACTCTTATATTTTCTTCATTCCTCCGCGCTGTCCACCCCCTAGGATTAGGGTAACTATATAACCTGTCATCCAAACTGGGAGACCTTTGAGAGTGACTGGAAAGAATGCTGAGACCACAGGCATAACCTGGGCCTCTCTTGGGAAAACCTGGATGTTTGCACACACTTCCTAATCAAGCCTGCTGTCATCTCAGCTTCTGTAAATGATTCCCCTGGTTGAGGCAGAACTATACGGTTTTAAATCCTTTGTTAAGTAGAAGTTAGCGAGGAAGTCCTGCCATCTAAAGTGGCAAACAGTTTTCTATACCCAACTGGCTGATTATGTAGCAAATCTGTTTTCCTTCCCTCTTCACCACACAGCTGGACTACATTTCCCAGATACCTTTGTGCTTAGGTGTGGTCATGTGACCAACTTTGGCCAATGGAATGTGGGTGGAATAGATAAATGCACTTCTAGACCTGACCTGTAAAACTTTCCAGGAGAATCGCTTCTTGCGAAGATCAAGTGTAGTATCTGTTCTTATCTGATACATCCTCTATCTGAGGACAATATAGTAAATGGATTTTCAAAGCTGGGAGATGGAATAGGAGCTTGCTCCATCCACTCTGGACATGGACCTGGTATAGCAGTACCTCTGGGAATGGTACACCAAAAAAACCCAAACCTTTCCCATGGGAGCCTCCTCTCTCTCTTGCCCTATTTATCAGTGCAAATGTCTTGAATCATCTTGATTTGGGGCATTCATTAGTTGATCTATTCTACTGCTCTTCTTGGCACCCCAACTTAAAGGAGGGAGAGCCACAACATAGGAAGAGCTGGCCCCTGGACAGCAACATGGAAGGCCATCTGGCCAGTCACCCCATTGACTATGACATGAAAAGAAATAAGCATGTACTTTGTATGCAACTGAGAATTAATCTGTTACAACAGCTAGCCTTATATTAAATAATTCATCCAGAAATGGAAACTCAGATGTTCCTATGGGAAAGTCTAAATTTCAGCCCCTTCATTCCATGGGTAAAGATTCAGAAACTCAAATGGGTGAGGTGATTTGCCTACACCAAACTATTAGCATCACAGAACTAGAACTAAGGTTTCCTATCCCCCAAAGAGACCTTCCAAATCATTAGGAGGTCTGGTTCTGTATATAACAGTGCTTATATGTGGTTCCTGAAGGCTGTGGCCAAGGATGGAGAGTGCCCAGGTGGCTGGGTTGCAGAGATACCTTTAATTACCTTCCAGTCCTTAAAGACAAAGAGTAGAACTAGTACCCAGATGAGAATTTACAGCTAGAACAAAATAGAGTAAAGAAGGTAAGTGACTATATTTGGAAAGAAGGGGGAACCCCATATTCATTTACCAAAACCTTTTTTCCAGTCTGACCTTACAGCCACACACCTCTACCCCACCCTCCTCTCTGCTCAAAGATGAGTCATCAAAAAAAAAGGTTTTGCTTGAAGGGAAGGATTAATTTCCAAAATTTCTGTGGAAGAAAAGATCATATATCTTGTTCAGCATGGTATTCTCAGCACTTAACACAGTGAGCCCAGGAAGGGGGCACCCAATGAGTATTTAGTGAACAAACAAGTGAATGAAGGCATATTTTTTTTCTTTTTTTGAAATAAGTTTTTATTGATTTCAGAGAGAGGAAGGGAGAGGGAGAGAAGAAAGAACATCGATGATGAGAGAGTTATTGATCGGCTGCCTCCTACACGCCCCCTATGGGGGATCAAGCCTGCAACCCAGGCATGTGCCCTGACCGGGAATCAAACCATGACCCCCTGGTTAATAGGTCGAAGTTAAACCACTGAGCCAAGCCAGCCAGGCAAGGGCATATTTCTTAATAACATATGGGCATGGGGTCATTTGTCCAAGATGCTGTCTTTCCAGCCAATCGTTGATCAGAAATATTTGGCAAAACATGGGTTATTGTAAACAGTGATTTTCCCCTTCAATAATGATGTTTCTTAGTGTTTTTATGAAAGAGTTGGTTGAAATTCCTTTCCTGCTGACGTATGTGACCTGTCACATGCCACCTTTTGTTCAGAGAATAGTAGTGGTTGGCTTAAGTTTATCAGATTAATGGTTTTAGGGTGTGTGTTTTTTCTTTCAAGAGGAACCTATTTTCAAACAAAATTGAAAATACATTAAACTCCAGTATATAAAAGAGACTTTGAAATTGGGGGCTGGCAGGAATGCTCTAGTTGAAGTGGGAGTGGAAATTCTCTCTTAGCAGTGTCTCCCCTTCCACCCCATTTCCCACCCCCAGTCAACCCCTTGGTGGCCAGGGGGTGTATAGATGACCGTGCTTTGAAACCCATACCTCTGGTGGAAGCAGCTGGGCCTTTGGTAGGGTTGACTTTAGGCCTTGCTGTCAAGATGCTGAAAGTTGAGTTCTAGGCCAGGTCTCTAAGAGTGAGACTCACTTCTTACCTAGTCTTAGAAAGTCAGAAGAGTGGAAACTTAGAGTTGGGGTAGAAAGAAGGAACGGCTGGCCTGAGGTCAAGTTTGGGATTCTCTTGATCATATTTAGTTGGTCTGTTTGTCCTGCCAGGAAACTGCATGTTGCTCCAACCCTGATGGGAAGTATTAGCCTAAGAATCAAGAGACCAAGACCCTCTTCAGCCCTGGTTCTCCCACTGATTGGCTATGTGATCACAACGAGTCTTTTTCCTATGATGGATCTCAGATTCCTCAACCACCAAATGGGGAAAAGGGGTCCCCATTGGGGTGACCACTGCGGTCCCTTCAAGTTCACACATGTAGGTGCATAGTCCAAGTTCCAACCCAGCACCTGATACAGATCATGTAAGGTGCTGGCTCCTTAGAAGAAAATATTCTCAAAATATGATTTTTGATGTTCATATCTGTTAATGAGGGTTCTTTGACTTGCAAATAATAGTAACCCAACTCAAAGAAGTTTAACCCAAAGGGGAATCTTTTGGGTCATGAAACTGCAGAGACAGCAGAACCAGGGCAGCCCCGGGGGACTCAAGAACGGGGACTGGAGTCTTGATTCGCATGTTCCTTTTTTGTCCCTTTCCGCTGGTCCCAGTCTGATTCCAGTCTCCCCCCAGACAGTGGACGCCACGCGATAGAGAAAGAAGCCCCACAAGTCTCTGCTTCCTGTCCTGCAGACACCGTAACACAAACACCCATCTCCTCTGCCCTCTTTGCCAAAGGAGCTGGTTCTAACAAGCAAGCCTGGGTCACATGCTTGGACCAATCATTGGGACCCGGCAAATAAGGCGCTAGAATTGGCTAAGTCTGGATCATATGTCCACCCCTGCGGCCAGGAAACTGGGTAAGAAACTGTGACTGGCAGCCCCATCCCAATCACATGACCAGGGTAGAAGCAGAACATCTCCCCAAAGGGAGAGGATGGTGCTGAACAGACAAAAACAACAGATGTCTATCTACTTGCCACAGCCAACTCCAAGCTCAGGTGGCTTTTCAGATGCCAGACCAATTCGTTTTTGCTCCTCAAGTGCCCAGATCATGTCCTCCCAGCTCCTAGTTGTCTCCCTAAGGAGAAGGGTTCTGGGCCTGTCTTGAGCAAATCATTTTAAATAACTATCATATGGATGGTGCAGAGGATTTCACCCTCACTTAATCAGTTGTACAATATTTATGCTTATGGGACAGCATGATGGATTTCTCCTTTGCTCCTTGTAGCCTGGGCACAGGACTCATTAAAAAGGCCCATGTAACTGCCCTTCGCTAATTGTGGATGATTCTAACATGCAGCAGAAAGCAGAGCCTGTGTACCTGCAAAGAAGAACGGCACCTCTCTCCACGTTCCTGTAGCATCATCCTGGGACCCCAGTCTCCTCAGAGCCCTTCGCTGCTCTGTCCCCTTGGCAGGCGCCGGGACCCTCAGCTGGCAAACTCGTCCATGATGAGGTAGCCGTACCTTGCTTAGTTGGTGTACTAAGCTTCCAAAACTGGATTTGACGAGGAAAATAATAACCCAGCGATAGAAAACACTGGTAGCAGATTGGCTGATAGGCTTCACAGCATAT